TCTCGGTTTAAGGCCCACGTAATTGCCCGTTGGTTAACTTTCACCACTCTGACCACTCTGGCCCTCCCGTGCAAGCCCCCTTAGGACTGTTAGGTCTTCGTGCCACTTTTTCAGGCCAAACACAAACAAGTCGGTGACGGGTGCCCATACTACCGCCCCTATGCAATTATTAATAGTGGCATGTGAACATACTATCCTACCAATTTGTATGCATTACTACTCTAGACTCTCCTCAGGTTCACAATCAATTCTCTACTGCATTTTAACCAAACAACGAGTCACCCTCGGCATTGATTGGTACCGAGCCAAACTTCCTCGAGACTAAAGGTCGAATCCCACGCCCGAAATACCCTTAGCGCGTGTATCCTAACCAATAGCCCAACGTGAATATGATTAGATAACTCGTCAAGATTCCAGATCTTATCAAGTTATCTGCCTGACTTCACCTACGAGTCCATAGTCAGACCTTCTGTGATCCGACTAGATGTGCTGCCACTGCACCGTTTAGTCAAGCCTTCGCATGCCATACCGGTCTCGTGTAATGTGGACCTAGGCCGCCTCGGTCTCTCTACCTAGGTCCTGCACATCCTGTTATATCTTATGTCGGGTACGTATTTGGTTTCAGCCAATACGCCCATGCTGCCCATCTCCAGACTTGCCGCCATGCTCACTCCGATACTCTATCGAGCTGCAACATGATTGCCACTAACACAAACACTTCTCTGCGGCGCTGTTGAGGCGTCACCAAACCATATCGGGCCCTCTCGAGACGCGGCACGATGTCTATCGACCCGTGACACGGTACTATGCTGCTGCAACATAATCTCCTATCGTGTCGCGACGCGGTACCTTTGTATGGCAGGGCTCGCTATCGTATAGTAACGTGGCACGTCCCATACCGTGACATGCTACCTTATGTTAGTTCTCCGTCGAGGCGTCGTCGAGGCATCCCCGAGACCATACTGATGTCCTACCTAAACTTCACCATAGTCTGGATTGAGACACTCATCGAGGCACCCCGAGGCCATGCCGATGTTCTCTCCACTAGGCTACCATTACTAGACCAGGTGCCTGCCGATACGTGACCCAATCCCTCATCGTTCCCGTATCGTAGCCCCTCGCCGTCCACGAGACCCTTCTCGTGCTCGACCGTAGTCGAGTGGAACTCGGCCACTGTCCTACACTCGTCGAGCCTCACATCTGGATCCCTTATCCAGATCGAGTTACCTCGACCACTACCTAGCTTATGACCCTATGAAAGCAATAATAATAAAGGACATCCAGGAAGGATTAGGTACGGATCGTGCCGTACCTCAATTGTGAACCTTCTCTACCGCGGGGCCGAGGTGCTGAGTTCCTTTTCAAGCTCCTCCGATTCTTCTTTCCTGAGCATTTCCCTTTGGCTCTGGAAGAGAAGAATAATTTTGGTGTGTAAAATATGAGCTCCCTAGCTCCCTATTTATACCCTACGAAAATCCCCCTAGAGAATATTCACTTTCCTTATTTTTTTTCACCTCCTTACTAAACGGGCCAAGCCCATTAGCCTCCACGTTTTTTCTTCCTCACCAAGGAAAAACGAGGGTTTTCCTTCCCCTTTCTACGGCTGACCTAGCCGCCCTCCCCCTTGGGCGGCCCGCTTTCCGAACACTTGCTTTTCTTGGGTTACCCATTTCCCCAAGTAACAAGAATTACAACCCAAATTTCCCTAAGTTACATTCTAAACACTATTCCTAATTTCGGGGTGTTACGCCTTTCCTTTCAGTTGTAGGAGGCCCGTTTACCTTTTCGCGGGTTGGTCCATAGGTTTCCATTGCCTGAGGACCATTTTCTCCATCCTAAAACCATTCTCTAAACCTCCGTAATTTGTTATAAGTCCTAAAAATCCCATACCTGGTGCTGGGATGTTACAAATTCTCCCCCTGTAAAAATGGATCCGTCCTCGGATCCCAGCGCAGTGCCCATGCATAGGTTCGCTACTGCATGGTCGGGTTCCTTCGCATGGTTGGTTTCGAGTTTATGGGGATAAGGAATGGGGTGGTGAACAGTGTTGGTATAGAATCATCAGGCCAAGAGGGTGCATGAAGGCGTGATGAACCCAAACATCGTTTATTAAATCAAAGGCAAGGGCCACCCTCTTTGGAAATATTCAGAGAAAAAAACAAAACAAAGCCGAGGAAAAGCTGTGAAAAGAAAGAATTTAGAGCGGTGTGGTGAGGGTGGTGGGGTTGTAGGTGGTCTACTGTTCCAGCTCTTCGTGCTCTCCTAACACGTGTACCCGGGGAAACACCTCTTGGCGCTTAGGTGGGGGTGGTAGGGGCCTCTGTCCGGCTTGGTCTCTCTCAGGGTTGGCAGGCATCATCTCCGTGCAATCCTTGGCCATATGTCCCATTATTCCACAATGAACACATGTCATACAGCCTCCCAGTGCTTGAGTGCAAGCGTGTGCGTAATGGCCCATCTACCCACACCGGAAACACCTACTAGGCCCCTTGCACGGCCCGGTGTGGTTCCGTCCACAAGTGACACATGGTAGAATTCGGGAGGGTCTCTCTTCAGCCTTGCACCTCCCGTTGTCTGCTTCTTTGATTTGGTGGAGGCCTGAGATAGCTTG